AATGAGTAAATCAAATCCCAATTAAGTATTTATATCTCTTTATCAATATATCAATATTATTGATATTGAAATTCACACTTTTTTAAAAAAGCGCCCTCTATTCCTGGTATAAGCACTTTTTAAAGTGGAAGAAAGAATGATAATACAACCATACAACAATATTTTAATAATAATGGCAAAGGGTTTAACGTACCTCAGATCATTAAAGTTGATGATCTAAGTATAGAGGTAGAGGTTTAGTCTCATACTTTGAAAGTAAAGAAAATTCCTAATGTTGAAAAGGAAGTAAAAGAAACAATTGATCATTTTAAAGATTATTTTGGTCTAGAACGCAGCAATTCAGAACAAATTTTAAAAACTTATGTATTTGATGATAAAACTGATCATACTTATCTTCGTGGCAACCAAAACTTCACAAGTTTAGTCATGAAGATGAAGGTGGTAAATGTTATTGCATAGTAGAATATGACGTTTTTCATGAAATGTACGTATATTAGCAATGCATATTACAACCTGCAGCATGAATTAGCACACGGTCTAACTTAGCTACAAGAGGTAAATCTTTACTATGGTATTAATGGAAGTAATCTCAGGCTATTGTGAACATCTCCTGAATCATAAGCTCAACCCTTAAGGATCTAGTATTGACAAAACTCAAGCAAAAGATCTTACATTTAGATGTAATTATAAAATTACAATATTTAGATGGGGTGAACAAAATAGCTTAGTTTACAAAACTGGACATGCTTTAGTAATCTATTTAAAAGAAAGGATCCACATTTGTTGAAAGATTACATGGAGACTTTACGTCTAAGTGCTTCAGAAAAAGCACAGAAATTTGTGAATGACGTAATACAAAGCAACGATGATTTTAAAGATTATCTTGCTGATTATAATACAGAAGTTGTAATGAAAGATATCAATGTTTTACAAATCGGAAAAGGGGAATTTATAGGAGTTAAGAACGAGATAGTAAATGGAGAGATCAAAAATGCATCATACTATAAAGTATATATAAACAAAATAGATCAAGGAAATGTAGGAAGCTTTTTGCCAGTAGAACACGTATCAGTATATAATTATGCTCGTGCAATAAATAGAGCAACTAATTATAATTAGATATATCAAAAGAATATAGCCTTTTAAAAGTTATAGAAGCACCTAATAGGCAGTACAAGTCGTTTACTGTAATGAATAGGGTAACGAGTATGAGAACACTTTAAGCATAAAGAGCGGGCTTTTAATGTAATATAAAATTGTAAAGAGAGCGTGAAAGAAAGTCGTGAACAAGAATTAAAAAGAAGATTGACACTATATTTGCGCATGAATATGAAAAACGAGTTTATTCTCATAAACATCTAAATATAGGACTTATAAACTTGGACAGATGCGAATCTGGCACGCTTTTTGCTATTAAATATGATCCAAATAATTAGAATATAGAAATGAGTTTAAGGGGAGAAATAATTCGGCTAAATGATCAAGCGTATTTCGCTAAGGTAAAATTATTGCATAATGAAGAAGACATAGGAATGTTATCTAATAATTTTCAAGAAAAATATTCTTTTCTACTGATGCAACTATAGCTGCAGTGACTTTCTAGCATCCATATTGCCTCAAATAGAAATTAAAGATATAGAAATAGAGTGACAGAATAACTTTTGATCAGGGTAGTGGAGACGTAGGTGATGCTAACAAAGGATACAATGACTATTAAAAAATATTTATAAAAGAAACACAATCTAAACAGCAAGTGCGTGAAGAGCAAAATGATGAAAATAGTCCAACAAAGATTGTAAATGATGCTGCTCGTAGCATCTACAGTGAGCGGGCAGAGGAGCGCTAAGCTACACCACCTCGGGTAAGAAGTAAGAGAATTAGTCTGATCAGCTAACGCAGCAAAATTCTTCAATTAACTTACAAAAGTAGGGTTGATAATATATAGTACAATGATGAACGATCATCTGGCGTAAGAACATTGGATAAGCAAGTAAGTGATGGATCATGTTCAGAGAGTTCTGTGCAAAATGAAATCTTAAAAAAAAGATTCAGATGAGAAAGATTCATTAGATTATACCCTTTTACACAAAGCTGTGTTTAAAATACACTTGAAAAAGTAAGGTCTTTAATATATCACGGTACAAAAGTAGATGTTAAAGATCAAGAAGGAATTACACCACTATCTCAAGCTGTTCTTTGTGATTATTATTCATGATAGTAAAGAATTGGAAAATATCGATCAGTAAAGGTGAAGATCTAAATGCGTATGTAAATGTACATGTAAGACGACCATTATTTACATCTTTAGCAACTGAAGGTCAAAATTATGACACATATGGTGAAATACTTCTTTATGAAGTTGCTAGACGTGGCAGCTTATATCTAGTTAAATTTTTAGTAGAAGAAGTCCATACTGAAATTAATACTTAGCAGATGACTGGCTGGATATATAACTTCATTCTAATGCTGCTCATGGATATATAGAAGTAGTGGAATACTTAATAAAAAGGTTTAGATATAAATATCCTAACTAATGTATATACTCCACTATACTCAGCTGTATTACACAATTAGTTGGATATACGAAAATATTTAATGGAAGCAGGAGCAGATCTTCATATTAATGGCCAAGGACAAGGAGATGAAGGTACACCTCTTGCTTTTGCTAAGAAGATAGGTAGTACTAAAATAGTGAAATATATGAATAGCAAAATATCAAATCTCTTGCATAGTAATACTACTTCTTGTGATAGAACTAATACAACCATAAAGCATAGTCTAGAGCATGGTAGGCTAGATGTGATAATGAACAGTATTAAAGATGCTTTTCATAACTTCAAGCATACTTTTAACGCCTCTGATTATGATAGAAAAATTGATGCTTATATTTTTAATAATCTGAATACTTATCAAGTATATTAAAAATATGGGAAGGGCGATAGATAATGGTGTTGTTAGTTATGCAGCAATGAATAACTTAGACGCTAATAATCATTCTGATGTAAGTAGTAATGGCGCTGATGTATATGTCTACCTTGATTTCGAGGGAGATGTTAATCAAAACACACTGTAGCGTGACATTGGGCATGCAATGCAATTAATAAATTGATTTGAGCCATTTTTGCTTACAGCAGTGTTTGAAGGTATGGCGAGCTATATTGCTGAATTGGAAAATGGCAACCATATAAAAGATACTAATACTCTTCCCGAAATAAAAGGAAAAATCTGAAGGCAAATAAAATGCTATATAATGGCTATTATGGGCGAAATTCTTATTAAGAAATAGAGCTGGGAATAAAGTTTCTCGAAGATAAGCACCTAGGCTTGGCGGATAAAATTAATTGATCTTTCGCAATTTTCATAACATGTAGCATTAGATCGGGTAGCGTAACAAATAACTGATAGATATCAACTTTTTAATGAGTTCATAGAAAATTTAAAAACTATGATTCAGAGTTAAAGATATCGATTGAGGAGCAGATAAAAAATCAATTACCACGAATAAGCTCAACTAAATGGGCAGGAAGGTCATCGCAATGATATGAGTAATAGTACATCTTTCAACAAACTCAATATGGTCAACTAGTTGAATTGGATGAGCAGCAAGGTCTAGCTATAGGAAGTGTGGGATCAATGAAAGCACAAGTAATGCGCTTAATTTGTTCATAGATCAATATGAAGAGCAGTCAGACAAGCAACTTGTAAGGAAAAGAGGGATGTAAAACAGCAAGAACCGGTGATTTTAAAAGACACAATTTTGAAGATAGAGAAAAGCTACGATTAAGATTCGCAAGGAAAACTAAGGCAAGCGTTGTTATAGACTATAATAATATGAAAGCTCTACATGAGGAAGCAGAAGGAGTAGAAAAGCAGCCTGTGTTAAAGTTTTGGAATAAATTGCATGTTTAAGAATATAAGGTTGGTGCTTTACCAGGAAAAAAATATTATTTTGTGGGGGTAAATTATTTATTCATGATGATCGAGGGAAAAGTGCATAATGTTATCTGAAGATAAAATATCCATCAAGGTGATGAAGTTAGATGATAACTATAAATTGGTTACTGCAAATGAAAAGGGAGGTATAATAAATAGTATTAATAAAGTAGAGTGCTTGAATTATGACTTATTATCAGATTCAATCAGCTTTGACTTGGAAACAAAAATAGTATAGAGTTAGCACATTAACACAGTGAGTATGATCTCTAACTCATCAATGACTTGGGAGGAGAAATGTTCAACTGCACTGATAACCATAACTCTCATCATCATAGGCTAATTTAGGCCAGAATGGAAGCTGGACAAAAGTTAAGTTTTAATCCAGCTAAAAATACATAACCAGAGTTATTACTCCGTGCCTTAGGTTCTTTAGTATAAAATTTTATAGCATCAAAATAGTATGAAGTACCCATGAATAAAGGATATTCAAGACTGACAGCATATGCTGATAACTCATTCGCATCTAGGTTAGCTATCTCTCTGCCACTAGTAAAATAAGTGAAGCTTAGCTTGCTAAAATCAGAGTGATATGCAATTCCTGCATTGATATAATGTGTATTCTTTACCTCTCCTTTTTTTTCTTCTCCTGGTACGACACCAACTCTTCTACCTGAATTTCCACCACTTCCATGCGAGAAAACATAGTTAAAATTAAAGCATTTTATATTTACTCCCAAGTTCCAATGTCTCAGTTGATTGTTGCAATTAGGATTACTTAGAGACTCTTTTTTATCGGTGTAATTCTGTCTTGCAAATTCACCAGTTGCAGCAGCAATAAAACTTATATCTTCTGAAAGACTACCCCTGTAAGAAAGACCTGCACCAATCAGATTGCTGTAATAAAAATTATCCTCTCTGGGAACGTAGCTAATTCCAAACTGGAAGTTATAAATTTCAGGAGAAATGTAACTAATCACTGATGCACCTGACTTGCACTTTAATCCGCTATAATCACTATAGATATTAGGTTTTACCCAAAAGATAATATCTTTATCATATCCGGCACCTTCAGACTTTTTATGCTCGCCACGCAAATTTGCATAATTTGCCCAATCACCATTTACTCCGCCAGCAGCAGCGCAAATTTTTGAAGTGTTGATTAGCATATCATGACTAACTAAGTCCTTGCGACCATATTCTATCGATCCAAGTCCTTTGTTTTTTATAATAAAATATCCTTGTCCTATATCTAATTCTTTTATATCGAGGGTACGTGAGCTTATGACGTCTGGAGAGTCTACTCTAACAAAAAAACCTATTTGGGTGCTTGGATGGACGCTTTGCAAGTAATGAAGACTTAAACTTGAACAACTTGACACTTTTTCCCTGGATTTATCTCCGAAAGTACTCTGGTTAAAAGCATAACCAAATTTCAAATCAATATTCCCATTTAGCTCCGTGTAAAATATTTTTTTATCTAGAACTGCTTTAGCAGTAGCATTGTTGTAAAAAAGAAAGAATAAAAAAAGCACTAGCGTTAACCTCATATATGAGCTATATATTTTGCACAGGAACAATATTATCTATATTTTTGTTTAAGGCAGCTCTGGATTTTTTATTCACCTGTATATAATTGT